GATGGTTTGAATAGGGATGACCCCCCACTGCCACCTCCCAGCTCATATATTTGAATGCTTAGTTGCCAAGGAATGACACTATTTGAGAGGATTTGAAGGATTAGAAGTTGTGGTCTTGTTGGAGGAAGTGTGCCACTGGAGGTGGGCTTTGGCGTTTAAAAAGCCCAAGCCAGGGCCAGTGCTATTCTCTCAGCCTGAGGACAAGGATGTAGCTCTCAACTACTTTTCCAGCACAATGTCCAAGAAGATAATGGACTAAGCCTCTGAAACTGTAAGCAAGCTTCCAATTAAATGCTTCTTTCATAAGAGTTGCCTTGGCCATGGCGTCTCTTTATAGCAAAAGAACAGTGACTAAGACAGTATCCATGAATGAGTCATGTGACACTTGGTAGAAATCGCAAAAGCAGTGATCCAGTAAGTTCAGCATTCCAGCAATTAAAACAAAGACAGAACACATCTGAAAATGAAAGATAGGTAGTGACCCAAACATAGAGAACTTGATGGAATAAAACAGAAGAAATATGCCAAGTGTATTTTTTATGTAATACATAACCAGAGAGGTACTGACATACAAGAGAACTGTGAGAAGCCAAGGACTGAGAGCCTTATTTTTATTTCCCAACTTCTGCAAGTAGCAAGTCTATTGGGGAATTTTGCAGCCCCCATGGAAAGCTCATTCTCTTAACTTTTGGGTGTAGGTAATGAATACAGTGGAAAATAAAAGCTTTTAGTTTTCAGAGCTAAAGTCAAAACCAGTGGCCTGAGTTACTGGTTGCAGGATCAGAACCATCCCTACACTGAGTGCATAGCCCACTTGCAGGTTCCAGACTCTTGCAGCCTCTGAGCCTTGGACCTTCCAGTCTCAGAGTTCCATGGTCTCACCTGGACCATCCCATGACTCCCCTTTCAAGAGTTTTGGTGGAGGTTACTCTGCCTGTTCTTTTTGGATAGAGAAGACAAGATGGTTACAAGACCTCCATATCAAGACAGAACACTGAAGAAGAGGTTAATGTGAGATCCTGGACTTGAATTCTGCTGCCATGCCTAATTTGGATCTTGAATGTCCTCTGGGGAAAAGTGAATGTACAATATTTGAAAGTCAAAGGTGGAAAATAAACTATCTCTAACCAAAATGGAAGACTATAATAAATTAGACATTATTTAAGTAATTCCTCCTCCCACAGCTATCAGCTTTTTGTCTTGTCCATTTCTCTGATTTGTGATGCTTCCCACTTGTGAAAAGAATTTTTGTACTGTGTAGACATTGAGCTTGGCCATTCAGGCTCTTTCAACTTATGCATGGAAACTTCAAGTGCGAGTTGTACAAAAGAGCTTGATAAGTCATTTGTGTGTTTCTGTAATCTCTTTTTTTTTCTCTGCATTAAAATGGGGGTATCTGAGCTAGAGAGATAGAACATCAGTTAAGAACTCTTGCTCCGCTTTCAGAAAACCTGTGTTATATTCCCAGAACCCGCATAACAGCTCACAACCATCTGTAATTCCAGTTCCAGGGGATGCAGTGTTTTCTTCTGCCCTAATTGGTCACTCCATGCACTTGATGCACTTTCATAATGCAGGCAAAACACTCACATGCGTAAAATAAAAGTAAAGAAATCTCTACAATTAGAAATTTTTTAAACTTTTTTTAATTTTTTTATAATTACAGTTTATTCATTTTGTATCCCCCCATAAGCCCCTCTCTCCTCCCCTCCCGATCCCACCCTCCCTCCCGTTTCTGCATGCATGCCCCTCCCCAAGTCCACTGATAGGGGAGGTTGTCCTCTCCTTTCTGATCTTAGTCTATCAGCTCTCGTCAAAAGTGGCTGCATTGTCCTCTTCTGTGGCCTGGTAAAGCTGCTCCCCCCTCAGGGGGAGATGATCAAAGAGCAGGCCAATCAGATTATGTCAGAGACAGTCCCTCTTCCCATTACTAGGTAGCCCACTTGGACACTGACCTGCCATGGGCTACATCTGTGCAGGGGTTCTAGAAATTTTTGAATAAAGGAAGGGTGTCTATCATGAGGCTGATTCTCTAGCCTTGATACTGAAACAATAGCGGCCTAGGGCTAGGGCTTTAGCTATAGGTAAGGTACTTGCCTAACATGCATAAGTGCTTAATTTCAACACCTGGTTACATTAAAATACAATACAGTAATGGTCTAAAGCACATTGGACTATAGCCAATGTACAACTAACCCCGTATAGGACATGTTTATTGACTTGAAGCAGAGAAGGAGAATAACTAAGAATGATGTGGGACATGAAACTGTAAAAAGATTAAACCTCACAAAAATATTCATGTTGGTTAGAGAGTCAAGTTTGGTGTTCTTATAAGTGACATAGAATGGAAACTCAAAGGACAGTTGGTCCGCTTCAGAATATGGGCATAGAGGGGAGCAGAGCAATAAAACTTGAATGCATATGAATCAGTTAGAATCAGATCTATTAGTGACAGACAAGTTGGGCAGTTCCCACCTGAGAGTCCCTATCCTTTTACCTAAGATGTTTTGACGAGAATCCTGTGGTTGTTCTCCACAGCCATACGTACTTCTGGACTAGGCTTTGCGAAGCTAATGAAGAGGACTCAGTATGGACTGAATCTTTGAGCTTAGTCCACAGAGAGATCCACATGTCCTGTGTGGATTATGCATTAATGAGATAAAAACAGACCTACACACATTGTTGTGACAAATACCTTGCCAAAAAAAGCAACATAGGGGAGGAAAGAGTTTGTGTGGATTTCAAAGCCAGGATGCAGTACATCATTTTGGGGATATCAAGGCAGGAACTGAAGCAGCTAGTCATACCACACCCACAGTTAAAAGCAATGACAAAATAGATACATTCTTGCTTGCTTGCTCGCTCTCAGGTAGCTTTCTCTACTCTTATATAGTCTGTGAAATGGTATTGTCCACAATGAGCTGGACCTTCCTACATAATACTCGTGCCCCCCCCCCCAGATATGGCCACAGGACGATCAGACCTAGGCAATTTCTCAATTATCACTACTCTCTCAGTTAATTCCTGATTGTGCCAAGCTGAGCATTGAAACTAACCAGAATATGGACCTTCTTTCTCATAAGCAGCCCAGGCTCCTGCTCCATTACCACACTTAACATTCTGCACAGGTTGCTGGGTAGAAAATGAAATAGAGTTCTGAAGAAAAGTTCAGCTTCGACATCAAAAAAAAGTTCAGCAAAGCCACCACCTGGGAAAAGCAAAGCTTATCTTTACAAACAACTAAGATCTGGATATTTGTTTTTACTGTGGAGTAATTGCTTTGATAAAATGATGGCCTTGCAACTCTTTCCAGATTATTAACTTTTCCAGGCTTTAGTCAGAAGAGCCCTGATAAAATTCTGTATTACGTGTGGCAAAAAGCCCAGACTGACTTATATGGTAGCCATGCATCTCATATATTTTTGAGTTTCTAGTATGCACTAGACCTGATACTAAACATAGAAACAATGATAGATAACATGAAAAGTGTGGGCCTTGAGATCCCAACACTCACAGTAAAGCAGCAGACAGAACATCAAGAGCCTCTTGGTTCATTAACTGTATCTACCATGCACACTCCAAAAGAAGAGTAACTTTATCTAAGAGGGTCAGGGAGAGTTAAAGAGTTATAGGAACAAGATGGAGAAACAAAGGCAGCATTTCCAAAGGCTCTCAGGTGAAAGCAAAACTGAACTCAGTGGAATGCTGAAGGTCAGCATGGTTGACTTTTAGAACAGAGAATGCATGCAGTCTGAGGCTGAAACAAAGCAATACTGGACCTCCCGGGCTTCATAGGCTGCAGCAAGGATTTTGATAAAACTTATTATGTGAATTTTATCACATCTCATCTCAAAGACATCTCATTGAAGGTTTTAATTTAAGGAATGACATAAACAGATTTTCATGATGAGATGATTCTGTATGTGGTGTGCATAATATATTGGAAAAAGGCCAAGTAGACAGTTGGAATGTTAGCATAAAATTCAGGCAGAATGAGGTGATAGCTAGAACCCCAGGGGGAGACAATGAGAGCAGAGAGAATGTTGGATTCTGTGTAGGAAATAATACTGATGTCTCCCAACATCAACAAAACCTCAGTATTGAAGGGATCCCCAAGATCTGATGATACCAACTTCTTTACCGCACAGACCAAACAGACTCTCCAAAAAGAACTCAGCTCACAAAATCCAATAAGGAATACATCTTGCACATTTTCTCAAGTACCCAACTATTTCTTTCTTCTTTCATCTCATTTAATTCTCCAAGACAACTTTGGGAGTATAGATTATTACATTTACATTTGAGGAAACTTCAACCTAAAGAGGCTAAGTCACAAGTCTAAGGTCCCAAAGTTAGCATGGTAGGCCATTTTAATCTTAGCCTGCGAGACTGTGAAACCTGTGCTCTTTCCACTTCCCAGTGTTATGTTAGTGTTCCTGGGTTAACTAGTTCTTTTATTGCTTAGAAAGCATAGATGTGTACAGACGCACAAAGTGATTTGAACTGTAATAAAATATAAATGCATAATGCTATTCATTGAGCATTTGTAAATATCAAACTTTTTTGATTCAACATACTAATACTATAAAAACTCTCGTGAAATCGCATGATCATATTCTTTTTTAGCATCCAGAACTTAATAGCATTGATACATTATCTTCCACATATTGAGGTTAATTGGACCAAGAACATAATTATATACTACTCATAATTGAATGTGATCAGAAATGACAAACAGGAAGAGTTGCTCCGTTAGAAGTTCTTCTCATGTTCATACAGAAGTTCTCATGATGTGACACAGTAGCCCTGAGAAGCACCCCTCATTGATCACAGTGTCTTCAGCTGACATGACTCTGTGTTGCCCGTGTCCTCCTGCCGGTCAAGGAGATCGGCTATCTTCACTATGTGAACACCACTGATGCAATCGGGACAGGAAGTATGACCTCATTCTGCTGCCCTGCCTCTGGTTAGGAAGGCTGATTTTGAAAGTAAACAAGGGCTGTGAGGCTGCCTCTCCCAAGAATGGCAAGCTGTTCTATTCTAGGAAACAGCTGAAAGATCCAGAGGCCCCTGAAGCATAAACTGCGCGGTGGATGCCTACTCAAGAAAAAGATGGGGGCAGCGTCCACCAGAAAGGAAGATGGGATTCCCTTTGTGAATTGACTTCGGCACCTGTTGACATTCTGACGGGACATTTCAGCTGAAGAACTGCTAGGTCCAGATTTCTGCACTGCCAGTCAAAGGGAAGCTTCGTATTTCAGTAATCATCCTGTCATTTATCAGTTGGAAGAGCCTGGGGACTCCCTGTGGAGAAATATGTATGAGCAAGTTGTATTTCAGAACAGATGCGTTGCTGGTACGAACTGGTAGACAGAGTCTGTTTCTTGAAAAGTTCTTGAGCTGTTAACGCAAGTTGTTTTCACAGTTACTAATTGACTAACTGGCGTTATACTCGCTGTACACAGCTACTTGCTTTTGTAAGATCAAACAGTGAGACCATGCTTTCTGCTGCAGAATGTCTTGGCTTAAAAGTAAGCTTACTGCTTGAGTAAAACTGGCATGCAGTCATTTGGGCTGCACATATTTTTATTGTATTGGTCAATGCTGAAGTGACAGGGGACATGGTCAGGTGTTTGCTTGTATGCAATATCATATTTTTCAAATCAGTGGTTTTCTATTAAAAATGTGTGTTTTTATTTAGAAATCTTCCACTGAATGCTAGAAATGTCTCCAGTATTCTGTAAAGTGATCATGGGCAGAGCTACTGGATCATAAAAGGCTCTAGTCTCACCTTACAAAACTACCAGGGTAATGAGATAATCATATTTATATACGTACACACTTATGTATAACTATATGATTTCAAAAATTAGAACTATGTGAAAAGACGTAACTGATCAAAGTTTACAAAAATCGCATAGTTTGATTATATGCTTAGTTTGAAAATGAAAAGTAAATTGTATGTTTTCAGGAATGGAGCTTTGCAATCTGGGTGTTGGTGTGCTATTTGTAGCTCAATGTAGCTCACACTATTTGGGAATGTTTAAATTGATAGCCATCACAAAAAGCACTGACCTTCTACATGACCACTTGTCAATGGCTCATGTTGTTGAGCAAAAAAGGCAGGCAACATTCTCCAAGCACTTACTGCAACTGGATAGTGAAGCTACCGTCTGCAAACATGAGCTTATTTCAAGGACTCTAGAACCAGTCACCTTTTTCATATTTCTAATTAAATAAGTCAAATTATTTAATCTGGGTGACAAATCAAACTTTCTTAGCATTGCTTTCCTCCAAAAATGGTGTCCTTTTTTTTACAGAATATTCACAGAATATTATGCCATGAGACAATGAAAACTAGAATTTGAAGTCTTTAAATCAGGCATCACCTCACTAAAGCCCAACAATCTGGTCTGCTGTCTCCAATCCTACATCTCTGTACTATTTCAGCAAACAAATCTGACTAGTGCAATTAGTAGACACCATCTGTTTTGGCATCATTTGTCTATTTTTAATATATAGTCCATTTTTTAAACATCTTTTGCAGAAAAAAAAATCTGTGAAGTTTGAACAAGCAGCCTTCTCAAGATGTACCGAGTCTCTCAACTGATGGCGACACCAGTAGCAAGTAAATGTGAAACTGCTCTGTGCAATTATCTTTGAACGATTAGAGTCCTCTTAGCAATTTCCTTGCTTTGATTTTGCTGATACTCAGACCATTAGCCATCTGTCAGTAGCTCGTGTTTCTTAAATGCCAGTGTGTGCTTTGGCAATGATTTCTACTTCATTTCTTTCCTTGAGAGGAATGTGACATTTTTTTTTTTTCCTTTTAGGATTAAAAAAAAAAAATCACCGTTTTTTTTTTAGATGCCTATGCATAAATGTGAAAGGAGGCTCTTTATTGGCTACTATTAAAATGCAAAGCTGTCTACAAAAAAAAAAAAGGCTGAAAATTGATAGCTACTTGCAGAAAACAAGGGCGTTGTTAAAACGGTAGTGGCTTTGAGTTTCTTCCTTCCTCTTATTTTTCTCCCCCAACCCCCTTTCTAACCTTCTTTTATACGCCCACAGGTTTTCTTTTCTTATATAAAAAAACAAAACAAAACAAAACAAAAAAAAAAAAAAACAGCCTAAGCTGAAAGTCTAAATTACCTTATTTGTTTTAAGTGGTAATTGGCAGTAAGGAAATCAAGTTTCACTGAGCTGAGCTGTTAGAAATCTTGATGTCATCATTGCCTTCTACCAAATTCTGTGATACAGTTTAGACTATTAATCATCTGCAACCCTCCTTCAAGTGAAGGCCATTGTCATGCCTTTGGTTAACCCAGATGGCATAGTTAAGTCTTCTTTAATTAAGGCTCTACAGGCTTCATACTGATAAGGATGATATCTTTAAAAGAAATACAAATCAAACCCAGAGCTGGGGAGATGGCACCCCATGTAAAGTGTTCACCATGCAAGCATGAGGACCTGAACTCATATCCACCCAGCCCGCATAAACAGCTGGGTGTGACGGGACCTATAGCCCTGGCACTGGAGAGACACTCTAGTACAATGGATGATATCCGGGTTCAGTGAGAGGCCTTGTCTCAAACACAGTGGAGAGCAACAGAGGAGAACATATGCACACACACTTGCTCAAACAAAATCAAAACTTTATACTCTGCTCCAACAATGCCTTCTGTTTGCTCTAGTAGAAGCACCTTACAAAGCCCTAACTAATAACAAAGCTCTTGGCAGTGACTGGATTCCTCACATGATGGAATAAGCTACAATAATCAACATACTAAGCAATTGAGTTATTTTTTTTTTTTTTACAACTTCACACAGATGCTTTCTCTCTTCCATTCATAAGCTCAGTTTGGCGATCATGATTTATCACCCTGCACTAACGAAAATGTTTGAGAGCTATGGAGTCTGGGGAAGGACCACAGATACATAGATTCTAGATTATTTTATGCTTCTCATAGGGGATTGGTGAAAAGTTGGCAAATTCCCTGAAACTATCTGTTCACATGATTCTACTGCATTGCTGTCTTCCTGCCAAGTCTGGAACACCAGCTAGGCATCCCTGCCAACATGTCACCCTTGTGGCCAATCACAATCATGCTCGTTGGTGAGATGTTGAAAATTCTCTCTCATTTTCTTATGCAGATTCCTCCAGGTTGGACAAAGAACTTTCTGGAGAGCTGTCCCCTACGTGCATTTTCCCAAGGTATGGCAAGGGGCTTTTCTCTGTCAAATCAAACTCCTTTTCTGCCCATTTTATTTTGTCTTCCTTTAAAAGCACTATCTTAGATATCATACAGGTTTTGAATGTTCATATGTTTTCAATGTTATGCATTAACAACTGAAAACTTGTCTACTCTAAGGATGGATTGTGTGTGTGTGTGTGAAAGAGAGAGAGAGTGGGAGAGAGAATTTGTAAGCCAAAGTAGCCATTTTTTTATTGAATGGAAAACTACTTTGTATATTTATATATGGTTGGGTTTTTCTTATTTTCTTAACTAGGTATTTTAGTCTCTTTCTAGTACTGTGACAAAACACCACTAGCAAGACAACTTACGGAAGAAATCATTTATGGAAGCTTACAATTCTAGAGGGTTACTGTCTATGACTGTCACAGAGGAAAACATGGCAGCAAGCAGTCAGGCATGGCACTAGAGCAGCAGCTGAGTGCTTACATATAATCTGGAGCACACAGCAGATAAAAAAAGAAAGAACTAACTGGGACAGGCATGGACTTTTTAAACCTCAAAGCCCATACTCAATGACATGCTTTCTCCAACAAGGCCACACCTCCTAACCCTTCCCAAACAGTTTGATCAATATCAGGAAGCAAAACTCTTCCAGAACTTGATTAGTCATCACTCAACGAAAGAAAAGACTGGCAATTGGACAGTTGAGCAACTTTAGGTTTCTGAAGCCCATTGAAAATAGCCTATTGAAAGATACTGAGCTGCTGGAATTCCTCCAGTATAATTCAAGTGAGAGGCAAGACCCAGAAGTAGTTTTAGTAACAAGCAAAAAATATTTTGATACCACTGAGAACACACTTTTGCTAGCCTGTTTATGTTGAAAGAATATTTACATTTATGTACAGTCAAGAAATGAGAGAGAAAATGTTAAGGACATTTGAAAGGAAAGGTGCCCAGGCTTAGAGCAACTGAGCTTTATAATAATTGCTAAAGATGAAACCTCAGAAAGCAACTAGAAATACAGGTCCAGAAATCTGTGGTTTCCAAGTGTCCAGTGAATAATAATGGATAATCGCCCTCCTGATTCTTGAGAAGGCAAATAGTATGGAGAGAAAAGCATAGGGCAGAAGGCCAGAGAGAGAGAGAGAGAGAGAGAGAGAGAGAGAGAAAGCATATATATATATATATATATATATAGTAATTTATTTATAACTCCCCTCATCTTGATGCTCCCCTTTAGAGCATCAAGATCTTGGGCAATTATTATCTTACTGATTTCTTCCCTTTCTTGTCTTCAAAAGGAGGAAGTAATAAGCAAAATGATCTAAGATGAAGTAGTTTAGGCCTCTCTGGAGTGAGCTCCACCCTGGCATTTCCAAAGTCTCTGTCTTTGTACCTGTGTCATTAAGTATTTTCACCAATGATTTAAAGTAAGGACTAACGATATCAGTAAGAACAGTCTAAACATATTTTAAATTAGCATAAATAGTACTAGAAATCACTGTGACATGTTTTGAACAAAGTATGTTTTAGTGATTCTCCTCGCTCTCATATCGCCCATCCTCTTGTTTCCCTTGGATTTCCCTTTCCATTCGTTAACTTCACCACTCCCCTTTCCTCTTTCATGATCTATGTGTCCTTTCTTCTATCTTGCATCCTTCCTCATCATTCATTTTTATCTTCTCCCAGCGTCTTTTCTAGATTATTAGCTTTTACCTACATTTACACTTTAATTAACTTATACAAAGACATTAAAAGTGTCATGTTGATATAAATAGTGCCATAGCTAGCTTCAGCTGTTAACTTGATACAACTTAAGTCACCTGGAAAGAAGGAACCTCAACTGAAGAATTGCCTCAATTCAATTAGCCTCTGAGCATGCCTTTAACATTTTCTTAGTTGCTACTCGATGTAGGAGGGCCCAGCTGTCTGTGAGTTGGGCGATCGATCCCTAGGCAGGTAGACCTGGGCTGTGTAAGGAAAGAAGCTTAGAAAGCTAGATGAAGTAAGCCAAGAAGCAATATTCCTTCAAGTTTCTGCTTCAGGCTCCAGCCTAGAGTCCCTGCCTTGTCAATCCGTAAGGATGAACTGTAAGATGAAATGAACTATTTCTGCCCCAAGTTGACTTTAGTCAGAATGTTTCATTACAGCAACAAAAGAACAAATTGGAACAGGTAGAATTCTCCCAAGCTTAAAACATAAATATATGTAAATAGTAGCCAATGCGTTAAGTTTAGATTCTTTAAAATATGAACAACAGCAGTATTAAGAAACATCTATAAAATTATAACATCTTTATGTAAATGTTACAAGATTTCAGGAACCTTCAATGTACAGATATTTTATTACAGGAAACTAGCTTTTAAGGAGAAAAAAGAACATTTTGAAGGATTATGATTAAAACCCAGCATAGAACCTAGCTCTTATTAGTTGTAAATCTTCTTCGCATTAGTCTATATAAATTGATATTCTCAGCCTGAATGAAGGGAACAATGAAAGTTTCCAACATTCCAGAAAGGCTCTTTGGTGACAGCCTTTGGTGACACAGACATCTGCCCAAATGGTATGATGAAATGTATGGGGAAAATACTAGAAACTGACAATTGTTTCAATACTAAGACAGTATTTTTGTGATGGAGGTAGATGAACAAAAAACACAACATCTTGGGCTTTGGAATTTAAGAAAGAAATTCTATAATGAGGGAGGTGACAGTGACAATGTCCTCTGCATGGATACATCTTAGTGCCCCTTGCTTGTCACAAGGAAAAGAAAAGTTACTTTAACTAGGAAACAGAAAAAAGGAGTCACAATAAAACAGTAAATGGCTCAAAGCACTTTATACCATAGAAAAATGAATTATGTGAATGGGGAAAACTTTTAGCACAGAAAAATAAAAAAGATGGGTACGATAGAGAAGCTTCTGTCAAACAGCTGACTATTTCCCAAGTGGGAGGTGGAAAAGAAAGGAAATTATAATTTATCTACCACAGTGGCAAGAGCAATGATGTGGCATACAGCACTTAAGCTGCATTGGGTAAAGGGAACAATTTGTTTCCAACATCTCAGAAAGACTGTTGGGTGATATTCCCATAAGAAAACGAACTAGCATAAAAAATGTAGGTCTACATTCTTGATATTAGTTCATTTTCTTGTGGTGAAGATTGACCAGAATGTTGTCACTGAGTTCAAAACAAAAAACAAAAACCCTAAATGCTGTGTGATTCAAGGCCTAAGCCCTGAAGGTCAAGAGCACCATTGCTAAGGGCTGTGGAAGTAGTTGGCAGTCATGAATGTAAATGATGGAATTTCCTTCACATTGACAAGATAGTCATATGGGTTCTGTATGATTGTTAGTGCTTGATAGAGACTTAAAGGACCTTTTTTTTTTTTTTTTTTTTTTTTCACTCTTTAGCTTTGCCTCTGATTTCCTTGATGGAGATAGTTCTTTTGAATGCTGTTCCATAGACCCCGTGACAGGCTCTCACTATGTCTGCCGCAGAAGCCCCCGACTCCTCACCAATGGCTACTACATTTGGACTGAGGACAGTGTCCTCTGTGACCCAGATGGCAACATCACTTTGAACCCCTCTCATACCAGTGTTATGTACAAGGAAAACTTAGTTAGGTAAGTAGAGGATATTGTGTAATGCGTCTCCTGGCCATTCTGCCCACCATTCATTTATCTACACTTTTATAAGCAGCTCAAGAGAATAGAAATAAAACAGGAATTAAAATCAGAGAAAGCCAACATGAAAGCAAATAAAAGTAAAAGCATGTTGGGGTAGAGATTGGGTTCATAGATGGTAGAGGGAAAGGCAAAGATGCCCATTTCCTTTGGGTATCAGGTAACATACGTGTCTTAGCAATGGTGATGGCAAAGGCATAGGGTGCCTGTTAAAACAAAGCACAAAATGGAATTTCATAGAGAAAGGTATAGGCAAAACACTCTGAGAAACCCTGATACAGTTAAGAGAATGCAAGTATCTTGGTAGGAATACATCTTAAGAAAAGGGCTACCTGCAAGAAAGAAGGCTAAAATTCTACTAATTGAGGGTCATGAATACCTAGTAGGGCTCAGAATTTGGGAAATGGGTCAGTGGGTCAAATGCCTCATGTGCAAGCATGAAGACATGAACTCAGATCTCTTGTACTCACACAAAAGCCAGTAATCCCCAAGCTGGAGAGGCAGAGACATGTGTAATCTGTGAGCTAATTTGCCAACCAATCTAGATCAATCAGAAAGCTCCAGCTTCATTTTGTCTCCAATAATAAGATAGAGAGTGATAAAGACACTCAAGGTTGACCTTTGGCTTCCCTGAATACACATGTCTGAGCATGTACCCCCCACACACCAAGCAAATTAAATAAAGATAACCAAAGGCTTGTTCTATTCTACCTTTATATTTGGGAAAAGCCACCTCGAAATGCATCATCTGAAAGTAATTCTAGATGTCACACAGAAGAGTAAAGTGCTGTCATGATAAAAGTAAAACATTCCCTCTTCATGTTACTTGGTTCTGGTTCAGCCCGTTAGCATTTCTCACTAATATAATGTGCCCATAACAGGGCTTGGTACATTCAGAGAGATGCCCATACACTTTCACTATTCCCCTGCCCACAATCCCGCCCTGCAGGCCATCCTGTATGGCTTCATTACCCCTCCCTTCCCTAAGACACACTCCTGTGTTTTGTTTTGTTTTTTTTTACACTGATATTAAACCTCGTGTTCCTTTAGAAAACATGCAGGGCTCTTTTTTATCTGCACCTTTGTATCTTTCCAGCTTTGCATGACCCAATATGAAACATACTTATTTTTCAATAATCATCTCATACAGTTTATGTCCCACTCATCCCGGAAAGCTTCATTAATTTTCAATTAGCCTGACCCTTCCACTTCTCTGTGGGTTCTTTCTACATAATTCTTCTGAGCACACATCTCCAACTTAATATGATAGTCATGACTAGTCCCTGTGGAGTCAGATTGATTATATTTGCTTCTACGTTGTGTCATTTACTAGTTGGATGATCTTAGCCAAATAATAGAACCTCTCATTTTCTCTGTCTCAGAAATTGTATAATAATAGTACCTACTTTATAGGGCTGTTCTGGGGATCATGTGGGTTTATCTGTGCAGAGCACCAAGAAGGCTACCCAGCACAGAGTGAGCTCCATGGAAGAGTCAGCAGTATTTGCAGTGCCTTGTCAGTTTTCTAAGAGCATAGACAGTGGACACTATCTATACATAGTTCAGTCTTTATCTCAGTATCGTTGACATGGATACAAGGATCTGTTCATGTAATAAACACAGAATTCATCTCAAAAGGGATAAGGGTTAGTTTATTATAGAGCCACATATAAGTGACCATGTCACAGAAATACAGCCTTAAGTCCCAAATTTCATATTCCTGAGCCATGATTATTTATATTTGGCTTCAGAATAAACCATCCCTTATTCCCTTTGAGGAGAAAGCTGTGATTTTACATCAGCAATTATGCCCAAAATTAGGACTCCTAAATTGATCTGCTTTTCACCAGAGCTATCACCTGGATCAGGGCTAGTAATGAGTATGAGTCCTTTGTGCCCAATGGTTGAGAGCTGCCTCCTCAGGTGGATGTTGGTGAGCTGTTTCTAGGATTCAGCTCTTCCTTGGCTTGGTTAATGGTCCATTTGTTTATTCCGAGGTTTTCAAGATCTTTTCAGTTGTATATTTTTAACTGTTGAAATAAAAAAATATAACTCTCATCTTAATGAGGATAAGAAACCATTTATTCTAGAGACAAATATAGTGACCATGGGCCAGGAGCACAAATGTTATTTCTTCAAATTACATGTTCTAATGTGCCAACAGCTTCATGAAGTTTGTATAGTAACAGAAAAGAGAAAATAATAGATGTTCTAGATGAAGTTACTATTGCTGTGATGAAACACCATGACTAAAAAGTAACTTGGGGAAGAAAGGATTTATTTCACTCACACTTCCACATTACAGTTCATCATCAAAAGCAGTAATGGCAGAAAGTCAAGCACAGCAAGAACATGAAATCAATGGCTGATGGAAAAAGCCATGAGAGGGGTGCTTACTGTCTTGCTCCTCCAGGCCTGTTCAGCTCGATTTTCTAATTAAACCCAGGATCAGAAGTCTGCAATGGGCTTGGCCTTTTACATCAATAACTTAGTAAGAAAATGTCCTACAGGTTTGCTTACTGCCCAGTCTTATGAAGATATTTTCTCAATTGACTTTCCTTCCGCTTTGATGACTCTAGTTTATGTCAAGTTCACATGAAACTATTCAGCACAATAAATCAACATAGTTTTCAAATACATTGGTAGGAAAATCAGGTAAATGGGTTAAAACAAATCAAGAAAATATAGGTTGGTCTCAGATGCTATCAGATAACATTCTTAGCTTTTAGGTCAATGGAATTAGTGGTCTCCTAAATTAATGGATCCCAATGGGTTTCCAATGACAGTCACAAACAGACATGGGCCATGAATATAAATGGGGCTAAAGAAAGCCAAGGATAAGTTGCATTTGTGCTTTGGCTCTTTGACATTTCCGCCTCTCTATGGATACATGGTATAAGTTGTTCTTTGCTTTGAGGGAACTTTAAGTTACAATTCTCAGTAGAACACTGAAAAACATTTTTGAGGAATTAATTGAAGATACAGATACGAGTTGTAGACCTATTCTGTGCATTAAGTCATTTCCACTGGATTATTTTCATCCTGAGGTGACTGCTACTCATCACTCACCATACTGCTTTTATTTCTTCCCAGAATATTTAGAAAGAAAAAGAGAACCCACCGTCATCTTTCCTCTCTGTTGGACCCCAGAGCCTCTAAATCTTGGTTGCATGGAAGTATCTTTGAAGATATTGACTTGCCCCCAAGTGAGGATATCTGGCTGGAGGGCATCAGGAGCCTAAGTATGTATCACAGCAATGAAAATAGTAGCTTTTCCATTCCATGATGAGATGCTATTTCTGGATGACAGTGATATAGTCCTGGCCCGAGGCATAGTGCAGAGGTGATTATCATTTTGATGCAGAGGATAAAGCCAAAAATTAAAATGTCATTGACACATTTCTGCATTTCCTGTGACTGAAAGAAAAAAAAATGTCTTCGTGTAATGCAAAGATCAGAGTTTAAATATAAGCAAGGGAATGTTGATAATACTCAAAAAATATCGGCTCATTTCCAATATGGCTTTTCATGTATGGGATAAAAGTAGACGTAAAAATGGAGGCAAAGTTAGAAGATGTATATCAGAGACAGTGTTCTGAAATCAGGATTCAAATCTCAGTTTGAGCATACTGGGATAGTAACTTTGTTAAGTTTCAATTGCTTCAATGTGCATATACGTTTGTGTTCTATTGAAATAGATGAAACATACATATATACATCATATATCTAATATAAATATGTGCTTATGTATTTATGCATTCAAATGTATGTATATAAATGCAATAACAAGAAAGCCCATTCTTTTTGTACTCACTCATTAAATCCTTGACTACATGCTCTGTGAAAACAACTATACTAAGCACTTGATCTAAGCTGAATAAGACACAATTCTAACGTTGGAAAACTCCTTTCTCAGATGGAGAGAAACATGTGTTTTTCCAAACAGCTGCAGTATAATGCCTTCAGTGCTGTAGCAGAGTTAGGAACATGGAGACAATGGTGGAGAGAAAGCTAATACATAAGCCAGGAAGTTGATATGAGCTCAACCTTGATAAGGCCAGCAGGGTTTCAGGTATAATAACTTCCAAGAGGGTCTTCAGAAATGAATGGCTTACAAAAAAGATGGGAGCTTGAATGACATTCCTGCCATTTCTAGTGTACCTTGCAATTGCTGGGTTTCTGGAATTTCCAAAGTATATATTGTGGCTATTCATTTCTTCCTAACACAAATAAATTTGTTTGACTTTTTTTTCTGCTTCTTAGTCATGACTAGCTTAATTTTTTTTTACCAACTAAAACCTAAATTATTTACTGAGTAAATATATATATATATATATATATATGTATATACATAAATATAACCATATATTTATGTAGGCTAAAACTGCTTATGCCTTATTATGGAACCAAACAAAGCCAATGAAGCTGCTTGTTCTTGTGGAAGTTTTATTTTGTTGGAAGAATTAGGCAAAACATATTATTTATCATGTTAAAAACTGTGACTTGCACAGAGAAAAATTAAGAGGAAAGGGATAAAATTGCAAAATTTTACCATCCATCCAGTTTTCCCCATTGGTAAAATTTTATAGTGTTTCAGAATATTACCAAAACCAGGAATTAACATTGGCACGATATAAAGATTTGTGTGTATGTGTGAACATGTGTATAACACTAGACTCATTTAAAAAGAGTAAGAACATATCAGATGAAGAATCAGTCCCATAATATGAAAAAATGATTAATGAAACCAAGTGAATTCTAGTTCCTGCCAATAACAAGGAAATCTAAGCAGGATACAGACATGAAGCAGGACATTGGGGTTGGACCAGGAGAGACATATGGTGGAAGGCTGAAGAACCTTCTGTGCCTTATTGAGGAGACAGAGTTTATCTAATGATTCACGGGCGTTTTGAAGCATCTTAGGATGAAGACATATCAGATTTGGGTTTTCAAAGTTAGTTTTCCAGCAATATGCAAAGGAAGATTGAATGGAGAGTATCTGGTGTGAGCTCAGAAGCAAAGAAAAGTAGCAAGCTTTCCAAGAAAGTATAAAGCAAATAGAAGGAATATAACCTTTTTATATAGAATTACAGGTTTGTGATATATTGAGTGAGGTTGTGAGCAAGTGGGAGAAGTTTAACAAATGAATATGTTTCATTTGGGGGACTTTGTGAAGAAACCTACCAGGGCCAGCTCTGGAAGATAGGAATGCAGAATGATAAGACGGCCTATCTTTTGGGCTAAGTGCCCCTGAGTTCAAGTCCTGGAGCCACCTCTTCCTACTTACGTGTTCTTGGGCACATTAAGTTTTCTGAACTTTCACTTCTTTATCAATAAGGACAAGAATAATAGCATGTAGAATTGCTGTGAAGAGAAAATGCAGTAATTCATTGAAAGTACCAATGCTGAAATAATGGGTTGAGGTTCTACTTAATACATTCACTCTACAAAAATTTCTTTTCATTATTTTTAATTATGTGTAGAGGTACCCTTCAAGGCCAGAGGGATTCAGCCCCTAGAGCTGGCATTAAAAATGGTTGTGCCCTGCCCAGTTTGCCAATGAACATGCTCAATATTTGTCAGTCTTTATTCTATTGTTTTTGCATTTACTTTCTCATTGTGATTATAATCAAGACAGAGTTTTCTTTGAAATAAAAGCTTACAAGAAACACCCTGAGGGAAATTTTAAGTGATAAAGAGAAGCCAGTTTTCATAAGATGTCAAAGAACATGAAAACGGTGCCTAGTAACTAAGACTGGTGTCTGAAATACACCAAGATTCCAGATAAAAAGCAACTTAGAGGAGGAAGGGTTTATTTTGGCTCACAGTTTTTTTTTTTTTTCCTAACAGTTACATTTTATTAACTCTGTATCCCAGCCGTGTCCCGATCCCTCATTCCCTCCCAGTCCCTCCCTCCCTCCCTCATCTCCACCGTGCCCCTTGCCAAGTCCATTGATAGGGGGGACCTCCTCCCCATTCATCTGATCCTGTTTTATCAGGTATCTTCAGGACTGGCTGCAAAGCTCTCCTCTGTGTCCTAACAGGACTGCTCCTCCCTTGGGGGGTGGGGAGGCCAAAGAGCCAGTCATTGAGTTCCTGTTAAAAATAGTCCTTGTTCCCCTCACTATGGGAATCCAATTGGTTACTGAGCTACCACAGGCTACATCTGTGCAGAGGTTCTAGGTTATATCCATACATGGTCCTTGGTTGAATGTCAGTCTCAGAAAAGACCCTGTGCCCAGATATATTCCGGTCCTTGTGGAGCTCCTATCCTTTCCCCATCAGACTAACTCCTCTTCTTTCTTATGATTCCCTGTACCCTGCCAAAGGTTTGGTCATGAGTCTTTGCTTTGAAAACACTGCTAGTTAGAGTCTTTCAAATGCGCTCAGTAGACTCCTGTCATACGTTCAATGTATAGTCCAACTGAGGGCGGGAGTTAGTTGTATCTGTAGGTCTGGAAGCACAGAGGAATCAGGAAGTGAAGCTGTGATGTAAATCCCCAAGGCCTACTTTCAATGACCTTCTTCTGCCAGTAAAGATCTACCTTCTAAGGACTCTATGACCTTTCCACACATGAGCTCATGGAAGACATTTCACGCTTAAACTACAATGCTAGGGAATGGTTTTTACAAAGTCCATTTTCACGTATTTGGAATTTGGCGCCTGGCTTCTATAGTTGCTACTTCAAAATGTGCACAAACAACTTGAAAACAGTCAGACCACAGTAGTGCTGCACATTCATAAGTTATCTTATTAAAATTCTCATGGGTGTCAAATACCTTCTAAATATAACAGATTAAACCACCCCTTCCAAAAATCAGTAATTAGTCAACCTGGGTACAGACAAGAGTTGGAAAGCTCTCATTTCTGCTGTCAGCTGTAATCAAATTTCCTCAGACGTCTAGTTTTCTGGTTTTACCCAAGGCCTCTTGATTTATCAGCAATTATTTTTCTCTGGAAATATGGCCTAGTTAGAAGACTCCTGAAGAATTCAAAATTAAATTGTTTTGCTATTTTCTCTCTGTGCAGTGGCTGTAATCAAACACTATTTCCCCTGATTTTCTCATGCTTCATTTTTCAGATGAGAAGATATTTTGCCTACTTGGTTTGTCCTCATCTAACCTCTTCTCCAGCTGCATGGAGACACCTTTTCTCATTAGTTGCAATTCATTCTTTAGTCCTGGCATTTTGCAGTTCCCCGAGGACCCCACCACTACCACCACCAAAAATAAACAAACAAACAAACACACAAAAAACTGCAATTTAGAATGTGTTCCAGGAGCTGTGATTCACCCTGAAAGAGAATAGAGATTTTTTTTTTCCACCGGAAGAATTGAATGGAACGGGATCTTCCATTATTCCTGATAACTGGTGAAATGGCATAAAATTAAGTTTCAGGTATAACACAACTAAAAATATTTGCTGAAGTGTCTGTTGTGTTAAGGGCCACTCACTTATTTTTAAACTTAGCAAAAGGTGAAAGTCAATCAAAGAAAAGTATGAGATGGGACAAATCATGTCTTTTTAAAGATATATATTCCCCTGGTCATTTTGAGTGTTAAGATTCTCATGGTTTCTGTGTTTAAACCATCATTTAAAAGTTCTGTGTAGGATTTCCAACATGACACAAAAGAGCCCTTTGTTTTAGTTCATTCGATTACCAATGCTAATTCTCTAAGTGAGACCAGGTAGTCCTGGGACCAGCATAGGTATATTTTTCCTGTTGCCACAGAGCCTGCTTCATGTCCTGAGATCCTAGAATAGCCTTTCAGGAATGTGGGATCAGCCAGCAATATCCTGGATCTCTTTTCACTTCCACATTAATTTGGACATCTAGCCTTCTTTTTCTGTTTTTAACAGCTTTAATGAGGTATAATTGAAATACTAAAAATGTACACATTTAATGTGTACAACTTAATGAGTTAGATATATGCAAGCACCTGTTATTTATCACCATACCAAACAGCTCCTCAGGGCATCTTCTATCCTTCTGTGTGTTTGCGTGTGTGTTTTAAGAATATGTAACATGATCTATCTTTTAAAAAAAATACCATATTGTTAAATACAGGTACCAGGCTGTGCCACACATAACCTTAAAACTCATCCACTTAATGTAATGAAAATCCTATGCTCCCAATTTTCTCCACCTCCTAACTCTTGAAGCCCTGGTAACCATTACTGCACTTTCTGCCTCTGTAAGTTTATCTGTTTAGGTCCTTCCTGCTCCATGTCTGCTTCTCCTTATCAGGAAACCCCTCTTGTTGTGCATCAGACTAGGCTGGAGAAAGAGAAGCTTGGCTGGGGCCTCTGGGTGTAATGCAGAACCTTGATCGGCAGTGAGTGCTTGGTCAAAGAATATATACACCTAGGAACAGCTTCAGAGAACTGATTCAGTTTATTGGTGAGGGAGAGGGGCTTCCCTGGGGTGTCACTGTAGCCTGCTTTGCTTCAGTTCTTTCTCTCATCTGGCATCTTTCCTCAGTCACCTTAAGTGCTGGGCATCACCTGACAGCAATAGCAACAGAGAAAGCCTTTTCCATTGCTAACTAGGACTGATCAGATTCAGATTGCTTCCCTTAAGGTAACCCAATGCATGGAAACAACAGTGTTCCTGACTGCTTCTTTCTTCTCCTCTGCTCTTCAGTTCTTACTGTCTCTAAAATTATTCTGGGGTCATAGCTATTCCTCACCACACTTCACTTGTGTCCTTTCCGGGGATCTTCTCACTACACATGTTCAGCTCTATAAGGCAGCAGATGATACACTTTTTTTCCACAGTGAATTCACGGCTTTTTGAGTATGTGATAAATATTGAGCCTAGAAAATTCTAGAGAAAGATCAAGAAATTCTTTCATGGAGGGACAATTTCCTAGATGTCCAATTCAAAATAAAAAGAAAAATCTTTCTTTTTCCCAAGGCTAGATAATAAATTCATAATATAGAGAATCCTTTCCATCTGGTGTCCTTATTTAATGACTAGCCAGTATCCTCCTGTCTCCTTCCCCAAAGTGACTATTCCAGATATAACTACAAATCCTGCAAATTATAACACATATTAATATTGAAAGCTTCAGGTTCTTCATATATCCCATTTTTTGCGATGGTTACATTTCTCCTACTACTACTCAGTCACTGCATCATTGTGGAAGCTAGAAACTGTCTATCTCATAGATGTGGAAAATAGGGATTATAAAGTTAAAATAAAATGACCTGTTTCCCTTTTATTATAACTCTTATTCCAGATTTCCTGCAGCCTATGTCCTCGTGGTTTCCATTTTAATAAGTCATATCTGGTGGCATGTATTTCTATGCATTCTACAATTCCTTCCTTCCTGTGTCCCACTGGTTGGGCTCCCCCTAACCTTAGATGTACTAGAATTTTCACCTACTTTGATTTAGTGTCTGTCTCTGCCCTCCCATATATCTGAGTGACCTGAGATGCATGGACTCAGTAAACATTTTGCTGAGCCTTTGATCTGGGTATTCCACCATGAGTCATGCAACCAAGACTCCTATTAACCCTAGAAATTATTACAATTGATACTGCAAATGAGAAGAAAAACAAATATTTATCTTCCTTTCATCATTTCACACAAAGTAAGTTAGTTAGGAAAACTTTCCCAAATACCAGACAAGCTGGTCAAAGCTGAAACCCAAGCATCTTTTACCTAGGGTTCTCCACATTTCACAGCCGTGTTTATTTTCCTTCCCCATGTGTATTTTGTGATGTAGAGTTGTGAAGGAAACCATGTAGTACATACCGAGTAATGCTACACCTAGCCTTTTTACTGGCTCCTAGCAGATATTAAGGGCCAGGACTGGTAAATATTAACTATTTGGATTAGTAGAAATTTCAACCTGAAACCCACTTTTAAAACATCAAAGAGAGTTTCGTCCTATTCACTGACTGGACCAGAGCTACTGATTTTTTTTTTCCCTGATCTTTTCATGAGGGAAATAGACTATTGTGGCCCTGCAGGGACTTGGTTCTAATTTTCTGCCTCTTTTAAGGATAAAGAGCCATTCCCCCATGCCATTTAGCGCCCTTTAAACATCAGCCCTTTAATTATAACTTTTAAACTTCACCTTTCCACCACCACCCCTATCCCTGTCAGCTGCAGCCATGGCTCATGTTTAGGGTTGTGAGTGGCCTCAGCTTGCCTGCTGGGAATGACCTTTTCTTTTGAGCTTAAGCATGCAGATTGAAAAGAATTTGCGTTGTATATGTGCCATCTTTTAAATCAGCCCAGGAAACACCAACATTCCATGCAGGACTTCTGCCTGCTCTTTGTGAATGTTTTTGTCTCCAAGCCGGTATAATCTGCATTGCCTCAAGTTCTCATCAAAGTTCATGGGAGTAAGACTAAACTGTGAGTAGATATCACACTGACAAACCAAGACCAACCACGACAGACCCTGGAGAATTCCTTGAACATTCAAGCCAGATGAATCAAAGCAGTGGCTTCTGTTGAGTCAAGGTGTGGCACTTCCTATGTAATTGAAAGTCATTCTTATTTATTGCATTTATCCTTACCAGCTAAGTTCTACCTTGGGAAATCTGGGGCCTTTTAACCTTAGATTCAGCTCAAAATTCAGCAACCAAAAATCTTCCCACAGTGACTTCATATTAAAGACATAAGATGTTTCTAGGAGTTATTTTAGCATCTTTCAAATGTTATGTTGCATGGATTTGAGATTAAACTTGACTGTTATTTTAGAAGCATCAGTTGGCTAATTTCAATGTTAGTAAAATGTATTTATGAGTTAACCATTATAAGGGAATGCATTAGAAACTATTTGCACCAAGTTGTCTGTTTGAATGACAAAACAAAGCATGTATTTTCATTCAATATTTAGTTTAGCGTTTCCCTGTGTTTTATAGAAGGTGGATTTCTATTGTGACACCTATCACAATATATTCTGCCATTCTGCTTCTACCGGAATATATACCTCACAAAACAAATGGTGATATCTGTCTAATCCGCTATTGCTTCTCAACAATGAGGCCTGATACGCATCAACATTCAACAAATGCCAAATGAGTGAATGGGGAAATTAGAAGTAGGAGTTTTCTTTGCTATGAAGTTTAATTTTGTGAATATGTGAGGCTCATATGCTCACACATATGAATATATATTCTTCAAACAAATCCACTCAACACCAACATCACTTTGAGACTGACAGTGAAACAACCAATGTCCTTGCGTACATGGATGTTAGAATCCCATTTCAGGATTTCTTCCAAAGCTAACAGGATTTTACTATATATCAAACTGTACTTTGTTTTTACAGAGATGAAACGCCACATAGATATGTACATGGTGACACTCTTACTAAGGAACATCACTCTCACTGTCTATAAATGGATCTCCTGCTCTTAAGATGGGAAGTAAATGCTTTTTATGGTCTGTCCTCCATCTTGTTGTAAAACTGTATCTTCCCTGGATCCTGCTGGGTCACCTTATTGTAACTACACTGTAGTTGGCTTCCTTCACCAAATTCTCATTCCTCTCATCTTTTGTGGTCTGAAGATATGTCTTTTATACCTCAAAGGATGGGGACAGATTAAAATACCGTCTCATCCAGGAAGGCTCCTCTTATCCCCTCCACTAGTGCAGTAGGCAGTGATGCCATTGTTCTGATTATTGGGGACTGTAAACAGGGCAGCACTGCTGGTTAGTTCCTATTGTCAATTTGACACAACCTAGAGTCACTTGGGGAGAGAGGATCTCAGTGAGGCATTGTCTAGATCAGAGTGGGCATGTCTGTGGCAATTATTTTGCTTGCTAATTGATTCAGCCCACTATGAGATGCATCAGTTCCTCAGCTGAGCCCCCTGAACAGCATCAGCATAAAAGAAGCTGGCTGAGCAGCAGCAGGCTGTCTATAGAGGTGCACTGAGTTCTTCCTAATCTTGACTAGTGATGTACTGTGACTAGCTGCTTGAGTTATTACCTTGACCTACCCAAAATGATGCACTGTAACCTGGGAATATGAGCCAAATAAACCTTTTCTTGCTCTAAATTGCTTTTGGTCAGAGTGTTTCATCATAGAAATAGATATAAAAAAGTATAACAATATCATTGGATATATATATATATATCCATATTCGTATGTATGTATGTATGTATACACAGACAGATAGATAACTAAATAGATAGATAAATGGACAAAATATATGGACACGCACAGACAAACACACATACACACAGAGGGGAGAAGAGAGAGAGAGAAAGAGAGACAGAGAGAAAGATTAAACTCTTGCCTTTTCAGAAAGTGATCTGGACTGTTCTCTGAGTGATGGCTGGGAGTCTCAGAAGCCAATCACAGACACTTCAGAAGCCTCCTCTTCTAGTCACATCCTGTCTCAGCCTCTCAGGGAAAGCTCCCAGAATTCCTGTGTTCAGCCTCAGATGAAAGTAGCAGAGCATTTCCAAAAGAACATCTTGGTGCATTCAAGTAAGTCCTTTTAATATTTGCCATACCCAAATAATTCTTCCTTCTTACCTCTTAAGGATGATGTAACAATGACTTATGTGCACTTATGAACTGGTATCAACCTGCTTAAGGGAGGACCTGGGCTCTTTGTAGTGTCCAGATGGCACAGAGTAGATTACTGCCTTTGAGTGTAGTCACAAAGTCCTCAGCAGCCCTGAGTTTACACTGTCCTATTTTTCAAGAACCTTGATGTCTGATAAGCATTAGGTTTGGATAAACCTGAGGAGAATGATTAAAGGTCTCTATTATTTACATCTTCATCTTTAGCTGTGTGTCTGGCATACTCTAAAAGGAGGGAGAAAAAGGAAGAAAAAAGAAGATGAAAAACATGTCTTTTAGTGCTATACCCCAGGAAGGAAAATGATATTCACCTCTTGGTGTTTCCTAGCATGAGTGATGGAAGAAACTCTCCAGTGTGCTTCTGACTGTTTTCCAGCAGAAGATTGATGACATTTTCATGCATTCTCACATCTGGGGAGGAGAGCTGAGCTGGCTCTGTTGAGCTTGCAGAGATTTCAAGGTTCAGACCCCACCTATAATCCACTCCTCTAAGAGCCATTATGGGAAACAGTGTCCAAGGCTGTACAGCAGTTAACCAAACTCTAAAATTTAACCTTGCATCTGTGCAGAGAGATGATCCTACTTCTTACTTTGCAATGAAAATGGCCCAAAGGATTTAGTATACTATGTCCTGTCTACATGAATACTCAATAGATTTGAGGTTATCACTGCAGGAGGCAGAGCCTGAGTGAAAACGATCCTGTTTTCACTAGGCCCTATAAACTGAGAATAAATAATGTTCCACTGAGTATCCTTCCAAAGACACACTCATATGCCCTGCACAATATATTCTCACTGCAGCTGTTCAGGAAGTGCTAAAGGATCTTTAAGTACCCTATACATGCATTTCAATGACAGAAAAGCTAGCCATGACTGTATAGAAAACTGCCGGGCTATCAATACCTACTAAAATTCAGCAGTTACCTCTTCCAGAGAGCCTAGCCTTCATTATTCAGGTTCCTATAACTCTTTTTTTTTCTTTCCCTTGAGCTGTACCACTGTTGCATGCTTGCCTGTGTTTCTCATCATTCTCTGTTCCTAAGGTCATAGTCATCCCTGTATCCCAAACTGACCATACAGTAGTTGGGGAGAACAAGTACCTCATGACTGAGGTGAATCAATTCATAACTGTGTAGTTTTATTTTACATAAAAGAATGTGAAAATTCTACAGATGAGTTAAGTCTTGTACACTCATTACAAAGAATGTGACCATGACAAATGCTTGTTTTTTGTTTTTTGTTTTTTTTTTTTTTTTAAATCTGGGATGTCTGTCCTATCTGCTGTACCTGGATGACCCTTACTTTTCTTCAAGGCCCAATGGAAACGAGACTACATTTGATGAGCCTTCTTTGACCCATCCTGATTGGTGGCTAGAGTAAATTATTCTCCCATGATTCCAGAGTACTCTCCATGTATCACTACACTGAAAATATTTATTTTCCTGTATTACTGGGTTCTCATATGCTTGGCCACTCCCATTGTTTATTTTCTCCATGTATAGGACTTGAGTGAGAATTCTGTTGCAGGTGACACAGCAGATGCTAATAACACTGGCTTGCTTGCCATGTTTTGTATCAGTCATGGCTTTTGAGTGCTATGCCTGAGTTATAGTGATAAAATTCACTGGTGTCTGCAAACAATGATTCCAAACAGAGAACTTAACTTTTTTCTAGTCTTTACTTCCTTGACATCTCTTCTGTGTTGTCACTGTTCCTCACAGCCCATCTTCCCGTGGTGGCTCCTGGAGTTTCTGTAAACACACACTTTTCAGATTTCCAATCTGTCAGAAGAGATGTTGTTCATTTAGAGTTATGATATGAAATCTAGAACTGTTATATCAGTTCTGGGTAGATTCAGTTTTCATGGCATAAACAATCACTTTGTTGATAGGTATTTGAGGCTCCAAAAGGCTTTGAATTAGTCAAATGCTGAGAAGAAAAATAGAAGAAACCAGCTGCTTCACCCTTTAGCAGGAAAAATGATTCCCCACCAAGAATATATAGCATTGCTTTCCAAACCGTCACATAGATGTTCACTGTTCTCAGTGCTGTGTAGGGGCATTTTGGGGGGTGAGAAATAGAGAAATAAAACTGAATACTTAAATGTGGAAAAATGTTAAAGAAAATAGAAGGTGGTAAAATTGAGAGGAAGGTAGAGAGCATCTGAAGTTTGAGAGGAAGAATCAAGGCCAAATTCCTAATGAGGTGCCAAGTCAGTGACCACTGAAGGACCAATGAACAACAGGTCCAAAGCCATACAACTCATCTCTTTGTCGAATTCAAAGGCACATCCACTCATAATCATAGCCAGTGATCTTTGCTGTGTCTCAGTCTGGATTTCTTGTCCTAATTGTACATGAAATCAGGAGATATGGAGAATGCAAACACCCTCTAGATAGATGGATGACATTCCAGTGAACCCACAATACTTTATTTAATTCACAGTACACATAAATCATCCACACTTTGAGTGACATAATTTATTATTGCTCCAGTTTGGCTTGCCAGACTTCAGGATTCTACCCGCTATAGGAGCTCAGTAAGATTTATAGCTAACTCCATCTTCATTTCCTGCATAAATCACAACAATAAAAACATTCACAGTATAAAGTCTTTCTGAGTCCTAAACAACTATCGCAAAATTAAGCTTCGGGGGAAGTTAAATTGAGATATATTTTCTTAAGTCCCCATGTGTTAATCTTTAAATTAGCGCTGATTTCTTAATGGTGATGAGTCTGAGAGTCAAGGTCATGATTCTCGTGATCCTCATGGATGTGACTGTTGGAAGTTTTGCACTTATTTCCACCATTGACACCATTCAAAGAGTTCACTAATTGCAGAATTTTGAAAGGGTAAATATTTCATAATACATATTTTTTCTTCTTTGTCTTTAGAAATCTCTAGTATGCAAAGTTGCAATTGACTTTCCATGCCTCATTTCAGACAAACAGTATGCAGTGTCTAGATGTAGTTTTAAAATCTTGGTACTGGCACCTCATAGCTGTGTTGTCTTGACCTATTGCATCATGTCTCTCAGTCTTGGTCCACTCATTTGAAAAATAGAGATAATGCTCCCTACCTTGCACGGTTTGGAGTTGATGAAAGAAGCTAATGTATGAAAAACATTTGTGGAGCAGGGCACAGTGTTGCATTCGTGTAATCCCAGCATTCAGGGACCAGAGGCAGGCAGACCTCTGTGTGTTCAAGGCCAGCCTGGTCTCTAAAGAGTCCAGGACAGCCAAGGTTACACAGAGAAACCCTGCCTCAAAAAAGAAAAAAAAAAGTATTTGTGAATTATAAAGTGCTCTGCAAATTGTAAGCATTCTTATTGTTGTTGTGGTCAGAACAGTCATAACCATCACCACATTTTTAGAGTTCTGACTTCAGCACAAACTGTACAAGGGCTTCTTCCAATATCAAAGCAGACAAGCAGTATGAAACATTTTGAGTTGCATAGTTTCTTTTTTTGCTCTGAGAGAGGACATTATATTCATTTACTTTGGAACTTTCTAGCCAATGAACCTATATAATGTGACATGATTTTTCAAAAAATATTTTTAAAATTTATGCACATGTGTACGTGTCTGCGTGAGTTGATATGTACCATGTGTGTTCAGGAGCCCATGGAGACTGGAAAAGGGCATCAGATAACCTGGAACTAACATTGTGAGCTACCATGTAGTTACTAGGCATGCCCTAAACCATTGACCATTGTCCCAGCTATACTTGACATGCTTTTATCTTGTTATTGATGAGTGATTGTTTAAACTGATGTGCATTTGAAAACTATGAGGCAGCTTTAACAGGAATTTTTCCCCAGGGTTATTTAATCAGCAATGATCTATGATTGATTTCTCCTTCCTGCAGGATCTGGTTTGATGCACAAGGTTTCTTTTCAGGCAATCCTGCTAGCAGTGTGCTTAATCATTTCTGCATGTGCAAGGTAATTCTAGTTTTCATGTTTTGCAATAATGTTTCGTAATCAATGGAGAGCTGTGACTAATGAATGATTTTCTTGCTCCTTCCACAAAACATTTTAGGTAGCTCTATAGCTAAGATTTGTTCATTTGTTTGTTTATTTGTTATGATATTGTCTTTTATTCTTCAAATACCTCCTCTATCCTCTACAATACATACAGAAGGCAGTGTGTGTTTAGAAATTGATTTTACCATGCGCTATCTTCTGTTTAGGCAGTGACAGAAAGGGTAGCTGTAATCTAAGTTTCCCTTCCAGTGCATTCCAGAGCACTTGAAGTCCGCACTGAGACTTCTATTGAAGTTTGTACCCTAAAATACAAAAGTATCAAAAAGATATTCTCTAAATTTAAGAGTCTAAAGGATAACAATACTTATTTGGAACAAGCAGAGTTCTGCATAGGAACACATAGGCAGCTATGAGTTGATTAGCATGTTGAGAGAAGGGAAGATTTATAAAGGGAAAAATAAAAATAATTATAGTGAGTATTTTGAAACAATGTGATTGACACTAAGAATGACGTTCTATTGAGGTTGAAAGGTAGTTGTTGGGCAGGTGTCCTCATAGAAGTACTTTGATTTTTAAATTTGTTTCTTTTTATTGATTTATTATTTATTACAATTTATTCACTTTGTATCCTGGCTGTAACCCCCTCCCTCATCTCCTCCCAGTCCTCCCTCCCACTTCTCCCTTTATACCCCTGCCCTAGTCCACTGATAAGGGAGGTCTTTTTCCCCTACTATCTGACCCTTTTATATAAGGTTGTAGTGAGCTGATGGCAACATGTGGTCCTGGGTAGAGTCCTTTGAAATAGTTACTGTCAGGGAATCATGTGTTAAGACCCTTTGTTTATGCTGTCCTGGATTTATCTTTTGCTGGAATTGGCACAATGACTTTTTCTTACCATGCCAACTTTCACATAAAAACTGTCAACTCCAGAAGAGCCAGCTTAGCACGGGAGGATACACAGTACTTAGTCCTGACTAGAGGTGTGCCAACATCTACCTCCTACCCTACACATTCGTGCCATGCCTTCTTGGTCTGTCTTTTCCCAAAAATTCTAAGAAAATGTTCAAGTCCCATCATTACTAAGCCTGTTCATGTCTCAGAGTCTTTGTTCCCTCTGCCTGGTACAAGTCTGTTCCACTAAGATAATAATATGTGACCTTACTTCTTTCTGGAATATTTTCAAATTCTATATTTGAGAGAACTTCCCTGGCATGTATGTGTTGACACTACTGCACTGTTCATCACACATATATCATACTTTCCTTTACTTCAGAGCACTTTCTACCCCTGACCCATTACTATATGTTCAGTTATCCAAATATTAATCATCTAGCTCTCACTATAAGAATGTGAGCAAAGCCGGCTGCGGTGGCGCACCCATGTCATCCCAGTAGTCAGGGTTTTAGAGACAGGTAGATCTCTGTGAATTCAGGCCAGTCTGATCTACAAAATGAGTCCATGATAGCCAAGGCTACACAGAGAAACCCTGTCTCAAAAAGCAAACCAACCAAGCAAACAAAGAATGTGAACAATCTAATAGTAATGGCATGCCTTGGCAAGTAAAAGTGTTTTCAGTACAAGCTTGATATCTTGAGTTCAATACTTAGAGTCCACACTGAAAAGAGAAAACCAACTCCTGAAAGCTGTCCTGTCACATGTGTGTGTGCTCTCTCTCTCTCTCTCTCTCTCTCTCTCTCTCTCACACACACACACACACACACACACACATACACACACACACGTAGATAAAATTTAAAGTATTTCTTTTTTTGCACAAATTTTTTTTATTTTTTTATTTAATTTTTATTAATTAAACTTTATTCATTTTGTATCCCCGCATAAGCCCCTCCCTCCTCCACTCCCGGTCCCACCCTCCTCCCCCCCTTTCTGCATGCATGCCCCTCCCTATGTCCACTGATTGGGGAGGTCCTCCTCTCCTTCTTTCTGATCTTAGTCTATCAGTTCTCATCAGAAGTGGCTGCATTGTCAGGGTTCTAGGTTATCTCCATGAATAGTCCTTGGTTGGAGTATGAGTCTCTGGGTATGGGCAATCTGGGACTGACATCAATGTGTTGCCCTAAATTCTGTATCCTTAATTATAAGAGTTGGTTGATTTTTTGAGTGGATGGATGAAATGAAAGTGAACAGTAAAGCCTTATAAGCTCCACAGTCTTTGGACTCTGGTGAGAAATGCTACTCACTTTCAATTCCTGTATCCTGAGGGCCAAATGTCTCCATATTGCTTGGGAAGGTTGATTTTTCCAATGCCAATTCTTAGATTCTCTCACTGAAGTATGAATTTAGGCCTAGTGAGAGTTAGTATTTTAAAATAAGCCTCCCACTTAATTATGAGGTCTGAGAAACATTTTAAATCACAATGAGACCAAAAGAACAAAAGGAGGAGGCTCTATGGCTAAAAATAGATGGTAACATTTTTCATTACATACCCCAAATTGGGAACTGATAATGTGCATTGGTACAATAATGGCTGGAAGAAATTATGCAGAGCAATCATAGTCAGCATTCTTTTAACTTAGTGTGTTCCAAAGTTCCAAGTTGGCCAGGAAACCCCATCTCATATTTGACAGGGCTTTCAGTGAGACCTCTTGGGTTAATGTATGTAGATGCATCCAGCCTTGAGAAGTAGAGCTTAACTCCATATCACTTTTGTGTGAGCTGTGGTTAGAAACTGGTTTCCAAAGAGCAGATCAAGGAAGTGAATAGAAATGATGCCTGTTGAGTGGAAAGAGGTGCTTGGTACCCTCTCTGATGAGCAAGGTCAAAGTCAATTAGATGAGCCTGACTGTTGAGGGTGCCCTTGACAAAAAGCAGGGAGATTGGCATTTTACATGTATGGTCTTCCAAATGCCAGGCTAGCCATGAAAAAAAAAAGAGAAAATTCAAATGAAGGCATTCAGAACATCAGAAGTCATTCTCAAAGCCAGTAAGGTCACCAAGGGCTATGCTATCCTATTCCAAAGGAGTCTAAGGAAACCTGATGGCTAACTAAGCATAATGTGCTTCCTGGATGGGATCCTGGAACAGAAAAGGGCATTAAGGTAAAACTAAAAAAATCCAAATTTAAGCATTTACTCATATTCATGTGTAACTGAAGGATTTTAAAAATGAGCTTTAATGTATTTATTCTGTGACATTTTCATATATATATATATATATATATATATAAATAACACATTCTGATCATATTCATCCCTTAACCCTCTTTTTTCCTCTCCCTACCTCACAGAATTTTAATTTGTACTCTGAGATTATAATTCAGCACTGTGGTTTGTGTTTTGTCTTTTTTTTTCTTACTCAATACTTCTCATTTCACTACCACGATTTCTTACAATCTTGAAGATTGGCTGCGATGGCCCTTTTATATATTATAATATAGACTTACTTTGATATGTGTGTGTCTATGCGTGTGCTTGTGCGCGTGTGCGTGTTTTCCATTACCCAGGCTGCTCTCTAATTCTTCATGTAACTGAGACTAACTGTGTACTCCTACTCCTCTGACTCTATCTCCCAAGTGATTGACACACGTACTCCCACACGTGACTTTTGCTTTTCTTAGGAAAAAAACCATTTAATACTAACTAAAATCAAACATCATATATAATGCCAACAATACACACAGTTCCCATGAAATCATGAAAGTATGGCAGCTAGGAATAAACATATGAAGGCATAGTCACGTGAGAATGCCCCATCTTGAAACCGACAGCAAAAATAAGTTGCCATCATTTGTAAATTGTCTCCTGATTTGAAAGAATGTTCATGTCCCTTTGAATTCAGGAAATAAGATTTGTTTGCAGGGCTGGCATTCACTTGGCCAGCTCAATCAAAACCTTTTAGTCACTTTAGGTTTGTTTCTCTCACGCTGTTATCCTAATTCCCTGATCAGTAAATCTTATTTCTTCCACAAAATATATTCTGAATCATAGTTCCTTAGTATTTCCATTGTTCTTTATAAAACAATTAAATAACAAATGACTCAGACTCATCTTGTATTTTTCCTGCCCTAGATTTAGTCATTTCTCTGAAATTCCCAAAATTCTTTTATTGTAGAACATTATGAGATCTGGCTGACAAATGTACTCATTGGCATTGGGATGCGTGGCTTCCAGGCTATCTGTAGACAGAAATGAGGAATGTTTTTGCATATGTAATAACCTTGGCACACACATGTGGAAATTATGTATCTACACACACATAAAGTAACACAAATGCATTTATATTAATATATCTAACCCTATCCCAGTACCACATGACTCATTCCAGGCTTCCCTGTCACTTTTGTTATTCACAGGCTTCTACTCTGGCATTTGGGAACCTGATTTTCATTACTTTCCACTGAACTGATTCATTCCTGCTGTACGTGTGCAGAAGTTGTAGAATTAATAACTCATACCCCATGATAGGCAACCTTACTGATACAAGCACAATGGTTTTGTTTAATTCCTTCCATCTCTGGTCTTAGATTTCTAGTTTAGGCTCCATTTCTTGAGGTTACATCATTCATCTGTAATACATACAGTATTTGCCTGCATCTTATATTGATGCAGGTTTCCAACATCCTGATTAAGTTGTTTGTTTTTTTGGTTTTTTTTGTACCTAACATAGTAATAATGGATAACCTCAATATCTGATTCTCCCCAATAAACAGACCATCCAGACAAAAACTAAACAAAGTAATGTGAATTAGATGACGTCATAAGCCAAATGGACTTAAATTCTACAGAGCATTTCTCCCGAACTCTAAGGAACATATCTTGTTCTCAGCAGCTCATGGAACTTTCCCCAAATTGACAACATGTTATTACACAAAAAAGTCTTACATGGTATTCAAAAAAATTGAAATAAAGCTCTGTATTCTATCTGACCAACATTGATTAATGCTATTAACACAACAATAGAATCAGCAAAGTGTACAAACTAATGGGAGCTCACTACATTTGAGTCTTTGAAAATTGGGTCAAGACAGACATCTAGAGTGAAATTAAAAACTTTTAATAAGTAAATGATAATAAAGAGACAACATATGCAAACATATATGATACAATGAAGGCTATTTTAAGAGGCAAGTTCACAATTCTAAGTGCCTACATGAAAAATAGTAGTGACCTCATATTAATAACTTAATGACGGACCTGGAAGCTAGGAGCAATAATACTCCAAAAAAGTACATGAGGATAAATAACACAGGGCTGAAATCAATGAAGTAGAAGCAACAACAAAAATACAAATAGTAAAGAAAAAGTTTGGTTCTTTGAAAAAAATCTACAAGACTGATAAATATTTAACCAGATTAACTGAAAGATGAAGAGAGAAGACCTAAGTTAACAAAATTAGAGATTAAAAGAGGAGACATTACAACAGATACTGAGGAAATTCAGAGAACCATAAGGGCAAATTATGAAATGGAATTGCAGAATAGGTCTACCTTTAATTTTGAAGAAAGTGCCAAACTGTATTCCAGAGTATTTTCTTCCCATCAGCAATGGTAGCCATGTATCTTCTCTGTTACTTGTTATGGCCATTTAGGTGCTCAGTGGTTCTGATAAATATATAAACATTGCTCAGCATGATAGTTTGAGTCATTCTGATAAGTGTGTAGCCATTGCTCAGTATGTTGGTTTGCATTGTCTAATGACAAATGATGTTTTACATTGCTTTAAATACTTATCTTCATATGTATATTTTCTTAGTTGAGATGTGGTGTGTGTTCACATTTTTCACCCATTTCCAAGGTTACTTATTTTCTGGCTGTTAGGGTTTATTTTTTTAGTTATTATATAAAATAACAAATGTCCTTATGGCATTTTCATACCTATATGCCATTATACTTTGTTATTTTTTAGCCCCCTTATTACTAAGGTTCTGTTGTTTTTATATAATCTAGACATGACTCCTTTAGTAGATCAGTCATCTGCAGATATTTTTTCCTGAATTTCCACTGTCTTTTCATCATCTTAACAGTGTTATTCCCAGAGAAAACCTTTTTTCCCCTTACATCTTCAGAAAGTTTAATTTTTCATTTTTCTTTTGTAGACTCTGCACTTCATACTGTATTCATTGACAAATACAAGGTCATGCAGTTTTCCTCTACGACTTTTTCTGGAAGTCTTGCATGTCATGGTTTATCACGTAGTCTCTGACTTTTCAACTTCCCTTGTGTGTGAGATAAGACATGCATGAAAGTTCATCCTTCTTTCAAATGTACACTTGTTTCAAGATCATTGGTTGAAAGAACTATCTTTCCATTGAGTGGAACTACACTCCTGTCAAAAATCAATTTATAAGGCTAAAGAGAACTCTCAGCAGTTAAGAATAAATGCTCTCACAGAGGTCCCAAGTTCAGATCCCAGAACTCACATTAAGTGGTTCATGACAGCCTTTAGCTACAGAGGGATCTAATACCTCTGGCCTCCATCTCCTTGGGTGCTCCACTCACATGCGTATCCTGCCCTTCCTACACACATAGATATACACATAATTTAAAGAAAAATAACTCTGTGTCCTTTTTTAAAAGACATCTGTTTAATATCCATGTGTTTCTAGCTCAGGGTTCCCTGGTCTCTTTTGTTGCCCTACCTGCCTATACTTGTGCTGATACATACTGCTTTGATTTTGCAGCTATATAGTAAATCTTTACATTCGGAGTCTATTCTTAGTCTAAAGTCATGCCGTATGTGCTGGAAGTGCAGGGTTAATGTGCTAAAACTACACAATCTTGTTGTTTCAGATGGTGTATGGGAGGAGAATTAGCAAACATCTTTACATGTGCATCGATGATCACAATCGCTTGTGAGTAACTTTTTCCAGATTGTTGCTCTATTTTTTTTTTGGAAGTTACCCAAATTATTGTCATTTAAATAAAATAAATATGTATTTCTCTTTTCTACCCAAGATGTTGTAAAATCACTGTTTCTGAACCTTGCCAGCTATTTCAAAGCTACCGCCTATGCTAGGTAAGTGCTACCTCAGCTATCATCACTGTCTGGTCAAAGATGTCAGAATCTGGTATTTATAGGTTTCTGCTAAGTAAGAGATGATAAAGGCTGCATAGAGGTACTTTCCCTATCATCATATGAAGAATATGTTCTTTTACTGCTAAAATCTAGTAGCAGTCTTAGAATTATGCTTTATTCTCATAATACATAGAATTAGGGAAATATAACTGGAAATAATAGGAAATTCAGCATCTTAAAACATTATTTTTTAGAAGTGCCATTATAGATTCATAGCATTGCACTTTCAAAATATCTCATATTAAGATGTCTTTGTGGTACGGCTTCCCAAATGCATGGCAAAATGCCTGAGAAATGACCTGTTATGAACAATAATTTCTCTCTCCTCTCTACCTCTCCTAATGAGGTTCCAGAGGGGTCCTGGGGTCTAAGAGATGCTCACAGAATTTAAAGCAGGCTTTGGAGTGCCCTCTCATGCAAGACAGTCTGTGTTGATAATCTTCACTTTACTGTGGTGATTGAGGCCAGCTTCAACAGCTTAGAGATAGAGCAGGGTCTGCAAGTCAAATCACTTTGTTGACCTTTGCATATGACTCTGCCACCATGTTTATGAAATCCTGGTCCTGATTCTGAAAGCAGTAGAGTGGGTGGAGATGTACTTTGTTTACAACTCTAGGTAACATGGATTTGCTGACATTTTGAATGACATTTCCTATAATTTCTAGCCATTCAGGTTTCTGAAGACAGCCATTAATATAACTGAGATTTGCTGAATTTAATGGGTAATTGAGTGTTACAGTTACCCCCTAAATTCCTGCTCTTTAACCCTTGTTAGCTACATTTGTTTAAAATTCTTCTAAAATAACTACTTACTTCCTAGCTACAGTTTAAATCATTTTAGATCTAAGTGGAGGCTCACAGGCTTACATTTTCCCAGCCCTTTCTACAGTTTTTCAGGAAGGATCAATTTTTAAATTAATACTTATTTTTGACAGTTATATATATACATATATATATATATATGAATTATATATAGTTTATAATAATTGAATTTTAGTCACTTTTACCTCATCCTACCCTATTTCAGTTCCTCTTCACCTCCTGCTAAACCCTACATTTTACCAACTCCCTTTTTTATTTTCATGTATTTTTCGTATCTATGACTCACTGAGTTTTAAAGGCATAGGTAGGAAGTTACTTACTAGAGCACAAACAATTTCAGAGCTAAGCCACTGAAGAAAGTGACACCTTTCCTCTAACCACTACTTATTGTCAATAGTTCCTTAGGGAAGAGTGTGGCCTCATGAGCCCTTGTCCCTCCTATGATGGAATGTTGAGGAGCCCAGTCTCATACAGATCTTGTGTAGGCAGCCACAACGGCAGTGAGTTTAAGTGCACATCAAGTGTGGTGTTATCATGTCGGTAAGATCCTGATTCTCAGTGCCATTCCTTTAGGTATTATATGCTTTCCACCCTTGTCATCTTGTGATGTTCAATGGTGGCTTAGTTTTGAATGCCGAGATAACAACAGACAGCTCTAGGCTAAAGGAAAGGATTCCAGCATTTCCTAGCATACTTGACCATCAGAGCCAACAAAATAAAAGGGAACAAGAAGGTGGCTTGGAGTGTGTCCTAGTTGTATAGAGCTTACTTACTATGCACAGGTCTTCATTTGAGCTCCACAATAAAAAAACAAAACAAAACAAAACATTTTTCACCCAAAGATATATTTTAAAACCCAAATTTCAGAAGTGATAACACTGTTAAGTTTGTTCAACAGTGAGGCATACATAAATCATTCAAAATTAAAAATTAAATGTACAGTTAATTGGAAAAAATGAGTTGTCATCATGTATAGAAGTTCTGTGGTTAAGGCAGAATTATTCAAAGTGGGGATGAGTATAGGGCCTCTAAGCTCTAAAGTCCTAAAGGAGCTATCTTCTGCTTCCAACTTTAGGCCTTCTGAATCCTGTTCCTGATAGTCTTTAGTCATTATAATATCTCTGGGTAATTCTTTACACATTTACTATGATAATCTTAGAAAAATGATTCCTGTAACTTTTACCCCTTGATCTGTGGCATCAGTTACCCTACCAAAACTTTACTGGTAACTATGCTCTGTACCAAGTATAGTTCATCTGAACAGTCATAAAATAAATTTCTTTCATGGATACCAAGGTCACAAAACCAAGGTATATGGCCAGTCTTAATACTTCGGAGCATGCAATAGGCAGGGTAGAATTTTTTTCTTTATGGTAAATACAAATACGGATCTTATAATTAGACCAAGTAAACACCAGAAAGGAAGTTTCCCCAGCTGGGGAGAGGTATAGGATGTGGACAAGCAGGTCTTCCTGGAAAAGGCACTATGTGATTTGACCTGTTACTGTAAATCTCCCAAGTTGAATTTCAGGCACCTCCCCACTGCTCTGAGGACCTCCTTTGTTCTTTGCTAAAAACAAATAATCCTCCTTGTCTCCTTCCCCTCTTCTCTTATTGTCTCTCCATTTGTTTCTATTTCCTATTTACCAGTTTTCATATACATGCTCACTTATATTGAAGATCTGTATCCACCCCAAAAACCTTTAAAATAGAAGATGCTGTATACATATTCATCAACCCAAAGATGGTTTCTTTATCATTGCTTGAAGGACTTTATACAGCAGAGTCCCATGCCTGTTATTAAAGATGTTGCAACTCTCTTCTTCTTACACAATGTATCTAAAAGATAATGAAACATATATGTGGTTATTAAGATCAAGAGTCAAGAATGACTCATATGTCTCCTCACACAATCAGTGATGAAGGTCTAGGGAACTGGGTGGAGGGTCACTGAGTTTAGTTCAACAGACATCCACACTGCAGCCCTCCCACACTCACCTTGTACTGTGCAAAGATAGATTTGATTAGATGCCTTCTCCTTGACATTCCAGTGTTCTCAAGTCATATCTCCTTTTACATCATACATCAGTATCTGTCACCTGCCTTTCTCCTTGATTTTAAAGTCTACAATTGTGAGGGTTGCTCATAACTCAACATTGCTGGAGCAGCCCTTGTTCATGAAGGTCACAGGTATCCTATGCCTCCAACGAATTATTTAGCCTCAGTGTAAATATTCTGCATACCCATGACAGACATCCTAGTACCGGGACAGGTAGCATGTTGTACTAATTTTATTTATGTTGCTATGATAAAATCTCCTGACCAAGAAAGGCAATATAAGAGAGGAAAGGGTTTATTTAGCCTAAAGTCTTAAGTTACAGTTTATCACTAAAGGAAAATCAAGGCAGGAATTCAAGCAACTAGCCACATTGCACCCACAGTGTAGTGCAGAGAACAAATGCATTCTTCCTTCTTTTAGCTAGCTTTCCCCCACTCTTTATACAGTCAGGGCTTCCCTGACTAGGGAATGGTGCTGTCCTCAATGCACTGGGTATTCTCACCTGAGTTAACAGTTATGACAATGGGAGTAGGGGGGCAGTGGGAGAAGGGCAGGGTGCGACTTTAATCCCAGCACTCACAGAGGCAGAGGCAGGCCGATCTCTGTGAGTTTGAAGCCAGCCTAGTCTACAAAGTGAGTCTGGGACAGCCCAAGCCTACACAGAGAAACCCTGTGTGGGGAAAAAAGAAACACTTATGGCAATTCTCTGCAGACACACTGATTCTAGGTAATTCCTCAAATGAACCTCTCTTTTCAAGTGAGTAAATTGTGTCAAGATAAGAATTAAAAGTAACCAGAATGCAAGTTTGTTCTCTTCTGTTAGATGGAAACTTTTCATTCCTGTTAATGGTACATGAATTAAACAACTTTAGAGACCGAAGACATTGAAACTACAACCATGTTAACCCTGTAGGCCAATGGTTCTCAACCTGTAAGTTGTGATTCTTTTAGGGAGTCAAATGACCCTTTCACAAAGGTTGCATATATCGTACAGATCAGATATTTACATTATGATTCATAACTGTAACAAAATTGATGTTAGGAAGTAGCAACAAAATTAATTTTATGGTTGGGTTTACCACAACATGAGGAACTGTATTAAAGGGTCACAGCATTAGGAAGGTTGAGAACCACTGCTCTAGGCTGTATTCCTCGCTTGATGCAGATGAAAAAAATATTATAAAGTGGTAATTTGCCAATTTCCATGGTGAGCTTTAAAAGTGAAACCTGCCTGGTTTTAGAGAAAAGGGCACAGAAAACTGCCAGAAATTGATAATAGCATGAATCTAAGTGGAGGCTCCACTCTTTGTAGTGGTGATTGTTCAAGCTAGTTTGCGTATGGTTAGATAATGCAAGTTTGTGTGTGTGTGTGAATTATTCATTTATTTTCTCCTTCCTCTAATCTAGGTTTGACAGCCTTAGCCTTTGAAGAATACACGTGATGAACGTCTTCAATCTGAATATCTGGAAACAGTAATTTGTAGTCTTCTTAAAATCAACCACTTTTTTTTTGGAAGGGAGTAAGCAAATGGATAACAGAAAAAAGTTCAATTTGACAATGTAATTTCTTTCTAAAAAAAAAATCTCAGTTTCCATATGTAATGGTAATTGGTTCATGACAATAATATTAATTTTCCTTTGTTTCACAAACATTGTCAGTTGAAAGGGAAGGGACAGCGGGAAGAAACAAGGCAGAACACCTGGAATAATGCTCCCCTGAAATTTCAAGTGTAGCCTGAAGTGGACCACAAACATTAATTTTAATTAGAGAATTCTGTGAGAAGCTTGAACTATAAATATCTCTTGTCTGCTAGCACGCAGCTATGCCTTGCTGACCTACTTTAACTAAACAATGCAAACAAGCTTATATATTTAACACAAGCTGCATAGGAAATAGATACACTTTGTACATACAATACAATAAATATATGCTTTTGAAAATGTGAATTGATGTTAGATGGTGAAAATAGGTTCTATGATTTGTCTACAAATGGCTGTGTGCTGAAACCTTGATTGTCAGTGTGGCCATGTTAAGAGATGGTAGGACCCTTAAGAAACAGGGCCAGTGGAATACCTTTAGATAACTGGGGGACTTCCCTCGGAATGTATAAATCACCAGTTCCTCAGTCTGTCTCTGGCTTTCTGTTCAGTTATATGATCTTCTCCTCCTACATCCACTGTGTGATGTGATGCCATCGACCTTGAAACCATCATTGGAAGGAAGCAGATGCTGGTATCATGCACTTGAACCTCCAGAGCAGTGAGCCCTTTTTCATTGCTTAATATCCTGCCCAGAGTATTTTATTACAGTCATGGTAAACAGGCTAAGAAAGTAAGGAGCTGATTATTGAAGGAAAATAAGCAGGGGAGAGCCTTTCCTTGGAATGTGAATTCTTCTCTTGAACTATTTACTATGCTTTTTTTTTTTTAAATTTCTTGGGAATAATGATCATATATCATTCAAGTTGTGATGAAAATATGATATTTAAAAATTCTTTAAGTACCAAATAAAGGAAAAAATAGTGTTCTAAAACGTACAAAAGTGGTAAAAACTGTATAACTGGCTGAAAAGTTATAGAAGACTCTCAATATTCTCACCTCTCACCGGAAAATTTCAGATGTAGCCTGCTGAGGATGTTCTATGGTGAAAAGCATCTGTTTATAGAAACTATATACTTTACAATAGTTATAGCAAATTAATCCTTTTTATATCTCTGACGGTTAATAGTCAACTTGACTGTATTTAGCATCATCCGTGAAACACACCTTTAGTATGTCTCTGTGGTTGTTTCTAAAGAGGTTTAACTGAAGAGAAAATATCTAACCTGAACTTGGGTACCACTATCCCATGGGCTGGTGTTCTAGACTTAATAAAAAGGAAGGAGGGAGAAAGGGAACTAAGCACCAGCATTCATCTCTCTCTCTTTCTTGACTATGGACACAATGTGACTAATCACTCAGGCTTCGGTTCCTTGCCATCCTATCATGATGGACTGTATCCCCTTAAACTTTGAGTCAAATAAACTGTTCTTACTTAAGTTACTTTTGTCAGTTGTTTTGTCAAAACAATAAGAAAAGTAACTATTATAATATATTATTTGGTTTCTGTACCTTTTTGGCTGGGTGGAATTATACTAATAAGTAGGCAGACTCACCATCAAATTACATATATAGTACATGTATCATATAGTTTATATTTACCTATATCCATGTACTCTTCACACATCTATTGACCTTGATTATTTGGATTTCTTATTCATTTGTTTTTACTCCTTTATTTGTGTTGTATGTATGTATGTATGTATGTATGTATGTATGTATGTATGTATTTAGTATTTGGATTCAGAGACAGGATCTCTCATTCTGTAGCCCAAAGATGGCCTACAATTCATATGTAACTCAGGCTAGCCTTGAATTCACAATAATCCTCTTATCCCAGCCCTTCTGAGTGCTGTGATGACAGTCATGAATCTCCAAGACTGGCTGTGTATTTTTACTTTAAATTGTATGACTGTCCTATGTATTTTATGAGATGCATGGTATACAAATATTTTTTCTAAACCCATTGCTTTTGCTTTTTCATTTTGTTGAATTTTTTGCTGTGCATATGTTTTTAATTTAATATAATCCCACATGTTTATTTTTGTTCTTGTTGCCTGAGATTTGATGTGGTAGTAAAAAAAAAAAAAAAATCATTACCAAAGCCAGTATCAACAAGCTTTTTTTTCTCCTGTTTGTCATGCTTTCAGGGCTTACATTTAGGACTTCAATACATCTTGACTATTGTATGTGGTATGTTGTAGTTTGAATCTCAAATGTCCTCGCAGGCTCACATGTTGGAGGTTTGGTCCACCCCTGGTGATAGAGTTGAGAAGTGGTAGGAACTTTAGAAAGTAGACCTAGGAATTTGTCACTGGAAACATACCCTTAAAAGGCATAGTGTGACTTGGCCCTCTCCTCTCCTAGCTGACGTGGGTTAAGCACGTGTCAGCATTTTCTATTATGATGTTTGCCTTTAAATAGCCATAATCTGAAACCCTTAAATCCATAAGCTCAACTAATTCCTTCTCTTTGTAGTTATTTATGAAAGGCATTTTTATCACATGGTATTAGATAAGGATTTGATTTCATTCTTTTGCTTGTGGACATACAGTTCTCTCAATAGTATATCTTAATGGGACTATTCTATCCCCAAAGGGCTTCAAAAGTAGTTATAAAAGAGGTATTATAATTATTGTTGTTGTTGTTGTTAATTTTACATCACAAGCTGTCAATCACAGCTTCCCCTGCCTCCTCCCCTCCCAGTCCAGCCCTCTTACCTCCTGTCCCTCCCATTCCCCCACCTCACTTTCTCCTCAGAAAAGGGGAGGCCTCCCATGGATATAAACCTGCCTTGGCATATTAAGTTGCAGTAGAACTTGAAGCATCTTCCCCTACTGAAACTAGACAAGGCACCCCAGTTAGGGAGATGGCATCCAAAGGCAGGTAACAGAGATAGAGACAGCCCCTGCTCCTGCTATTAGAGGTCCCACATGAAGACCAAGCTGCACAACTGTTATGTATATGCTGAGGACCTAGATTCATTCCATGCACGCTCTCTGGTTGGTGGTTTGGTCTCTGTGGGCTCCTATGATTCTGTACGTTTCCTTGTGGGGTCTGACCTCTCTGGCTCCTTCAGTCATTCTTCCCTCCCTGCTTTGCACCCTCTTTCTCAAGATTCCTCACGCTCTGCCGAATGTTTGGCTGTGGGTCTCCGCATTTGTTTCGTTCAGTTGCTGAGTACATCCTCTCAGTTATGCTAGGCTCCTGATTTCAAGTACAGGAAGAATATCATTAATAGTGCCAGGGGTAAGCTCTCTCTCTTTTTCTTGGTATGGGTCTCAAGCTGGGCCAGTCATTGGTTGGCCATTCCTTCAGTTTCTCCTCCACATCTTGTAGGCAGGACAAATTGTGGGTCGAAGATTTTGTGGCTCGGTTGGTGTCCCAATCCCTCCATTGGAAGTCTTTTTGGTTACAGGAGATGCTCATATGAACGAGGTTTTAATATAATGTAGTCATCAGAGCTTTAGGCAGTTCTGTCTCCGTGGTTTCTTTTCTCCCACTATCATCAAGGACATAGAAAGTCTAAGCACATGTTCTCCAGAGAAAAGACCCTGAACTTTGAGGTAAGGTTCCATGTCACTTACCTGTTGGTATAATGTTCTTTTGAAATGTATGCGCATTACCCTTGTTCATTCAAATGCTGATTCCCCCTACCCCATTCTCTGGTTTCAATCCGGATATTGCATTGTGATACTTATTCTAAGCATCCTGTCTCAACTTTGTATAAACAGGCCAAAATAAAACAACTAGCCACAATGTTGTACAATGGGAGGAGCCAGAGGACAGGAAAGAGGGGAGGAGCCAGAGGGCAGGAAATGAGTGGGAGGAGAAAGGGCAAGAGGAGAGCTAGGAGAACAGAGCTGGAGGAGAGATGGGGGAACAATGTGGAGAGATGGACTGGACCTAAGATTTCACTAAAAGCAAGAATAATGTGGGAAATCTAAAATGTTAGGAACTATGAGGGCATGGAGGTTTAGGAGGGAATAACTATTGCCCAGCATTATGTTCTAGGTTAATTAAATAAACCCAGTCTCTGTGCGGTGATTTGGTTATAGAGCTATTTAGGACTAACATCAGCATTACTAAAAGATATATCAATAGCAAATAGTAATTGTCACTTACAACACTTACCCATGACTCCTGCTCTTCTGCATGCTGGAAGATATTGGAATGTGATCCTGTGTTGATTTTTCCAACTATCTCAATGAACCCTAGTAATTTCCTGGGTAACAGGGATGATGGGATTATTTTACACAGAACCGCTGAACTCATTGGGATTTCCTGGAAAGCAGGTGCATCTTCTACTCTAATGAAGGCACTCTTGATGAACTCCTGAGCAGCCTCAGGAAGAGGAATGGACACTAGAAAGAGCAAAACATGACTGGAAGCCTGGTATTTTAAGCCCCTCCATGTACTAGAGAGAAAAATAGAGACAGAGATTGAGCTAACTGTAGACCACACCCACGTGATGGAGCATTCACAAAAATATGGCAAGTGTGGCATTTGAAGCCCTTTTTATCTATTATCCCCATGCCGGGAATGTTGGGAGATGCATTCACACTCCAAAGCGACAGACTCCATCTAGCCCTTCATTCACTTTGCTCTGTGCATATTGATTCATCCGTCCATGCATTATATTCTTATGATATGTTTTAGTTATGCTAAGCATAACTAAAGTAATTCTCCGAGTTCTTCCTTCAGTTACTAAAAACTTTAACATGACCAGGTAGCAATGGTGAATCCCTATGTGTAACCAAGTTATATAGAAACCTACAAAGGGATCCACTTCCTGTGATTGACATCTTAAGCAGAGGCACAGATAAAAATTATTTTTCTTTAATAGTTTGTTGGAAGACCATGATGTTAAAGTTGAAGTCCACCATGTTTGGATAGCTCTCTGAGCTCAGTGCAAAATGTAGGACTCCCTTTCTCAGCAAGCTTTCCTCTCCTCTGCCTTTATCTGGAAAGCATCTCTAGGCACAGATGCCTGACCTTGCTTGGTGGATAACCCTGTACAGAGCTTTCTGCAAGGGCTATGTGACTTAGCCTAGAGTCCCACTCCTTCCCCCTGTCTGTATGATAATTAGGTACTATATTATGACCAATCAGTATTTTTCCACCCATAACCCTAAGAACCTTTATATACCTTACCCCTAAAACAATGAAATGAATGAAATTACCTCCCTCTGAGGGGGAAACAGCATTACCAGGCCACAGAAGAAGACAATGCAGCCACTCCTGATGAGACCTAATTGACTAGGATCAGTAGGAAGGAAAAGAAGTCCTCCCCTATCAGTGGACTTGGGGAGGGGCATCATGCAGAGGGTGGAGGAAGGGAGGGATTG